TGCACACGCTGAGTTACGGTAATAGACCGGCCCAGCCTCTGAGGCGTGCACACGCTGAGTTACGGTAATAGACCGGCCCAGCCTCTGAGGCGTGCACACGCTGGGTTACGGTAATAGACCGGCCCAGCCTCTCTGTCCTCTCATTGCATGCAGACAGTCTGGCCTAATTATGAGCAGCATTGGTGATCATTCAACACCCTCCGAAGTGGCAGCACTTCCTGATGGCTGGCATTTATGGTCTGTTTCTGAAGAATCATAAGACTGTTACACAAACACAAATTTCAATGACTTGCATTTTTCCTGTGGGAAAAAAAAAAAGATTTTTTTAAACGTCTCAGTGGCTGATGTGGATCAAATACCTGATATCTGAAATGTCTGGACTCACAATTTATCACATGGGTGAAGAAATAGTTTATTAATACTATAAAATCTCATCTACTCAATTTGAATTTCATCTCCATCTATTTTTAAAATACATTTTATACCATTTATTTCTGTTGTTTTAGAAGATATAATCCAAGCAGCAAAAATGCTCTAAATGTATGTGCATATATATGTGCAGATATATTACATACATAAATACACCAAAAGAAGCATTTTGCAGATGGACAGATTCACCAAACATTTAGAATCAATAAATGATGATATATTTAACAGCATTATGAGATCCATGTATTTTAACAAAGATTTATTAAAAACTTATTAGAAGAAGGTTCTAGAGACAACATTAGTAAAAAAAAAATCTTCCTATTAGCAGAAATGGGAACAGGTCCAATGAAGTTGACTCCCTTTGGCCTGTGACATTACAATGAAGTACTCTCTTGAAATAATGAAGTACTCTCTCGAAATAATGAAGTACTCCCTCAAAATTCCATCAAACGTACCCACCCATGAGTTTTACATAATTAAACAGACCCATGTTGTGAGTAAACGTGTTTTCTGTCTACAGAGTGACACTATGACATCAACATAAAATTACTGTTTCCATTAAATACAAAATCCATAGTATATTTGGTAAATATCACTACTATTTATAGAAGCATGCTTTCATGACAAAAACAGTTAAGTGAATGTTTTCTGGAAATGTGCAAAACCAGCACTGTATAAAAAAAATTAAAACATGAATTTGTAGTAACATTGTTTAACTCCAGTTCTCCCACAACTAAAGTCAACAATAACTGAGAAGTAGAAAATTCATAGTCTTAATGCATAATGTTCATTGCGTTTCACCTTGGCAGCTGTGGATTTATTTAATTTCTTATAAAATCCAAAATGTGCAAAAAACAGTCACATATTACATGGGATTCTGCTGTTTTGCATCCAATTAAGTATAACAAATGGTTTATTCATACTATGCCTGGCTTTGAGGAAACTGCACTAGCTACTGATAGCAATTAGTGTTGTCACCTTGTAAACATCCAACTGTAATTAGTATACTTAGTATTATTCTTAGCAATTTTTAACATACAGAAACCGTTACACCTTAAAAGACAGGAATGTAAACACTGTAATAGATGGTGCATTTATAACACTATATCCAGACTCTAAACACTTAAACATTGAATGCAGCCATCTTGTGAGAAAAGTTCATATAACGCTACCGACATAGAGTGCCAACTACGAAGTACACGATCTGTGCTTCAACACAATGAAAGAGACAAATCCGCACATTGATTTGTTAGCTTATGAGATCAATAAATATTTGTTGTTGTTCTATTTCACTATGGAAAAAAAAAACGTCTTTGGAAAGCAAGATAAAAATCCTGAGGATAATATGTTGTTATAAAACTAACATCGAAGCTCAGCTAATTAACTATTATATCATCTTTCAATTCTCTCACAGGCCTCTGCATAGTCTTTCTGTAAATACAGAGCTGCACACATCTGCACAGCCATGAAAGTCATGTGAATACAATTTCACTGAGCAAATAAAGCTCTTTTCACCTTTTTCCTCACCATAAAGGAAAACTCTCTGAAAGACTGTTTTATTTGTCAAAAACATGGAGCTAAGGTAGCAATAAGTGACAGATCTCTGAAGCAGCAGGTTACCAGAGGAAGGTTTTAAAGACATCCACCAATATCTACCCACCAGTCAATGTAAATGCTAAATACGGAAAGGTGAATGAGACAAGAACACACGAAAGAATTAGAAAAATAATAATAAAATTCTTTTAGGAGAACATGACAAACATTAAGTAACATGCAAAATTAACAGAGATAAAATGAGATGAACATAAAAATGTCTGAAGAATTAATGAGGGCTTCATAATAAGAGTCAATATTCCAGTCACAGAAAGTCACAGAAATTGTTACATTTTAAAAATGCAACAAGAATATGATCGTATATCATTAATAAGCAATAACATGAGACATGGGAACTAAGAACTGCGGCAGCAGACGTAAAATAAAACCCAAAGCCTATATCCCAACCAAACTCTCTGGCAGTAGACAGAGAGATATTAAAAAAGAAAAATGAAAAGAGATTAAGTAAAAGTTTGTGTTCTGTAGAACCTACTAGTACTAAGTTATATTATCTAAGGTGAGTAAACATAAACACTTATGATCCACACTCCACAATTGATCTGCAGTTATGTTTCTCATTTTGCTATAATTTGCTTTCAACTGCAAATGCAAAATGTCTTCGGGTGTTGGGGCATGGGGAGGGGGGGATTTCGCGCTCTTCAGAGGTGCTGTGGCAGCAATCTGGTGAAGATGTGGGTTTAGCCATAAATGGATGTGGGGAACTGGAGGCCAGTTCATACCTCTCTCTATAGCCATGTTAGGAAGCTCTCCTTATCGCACTTGGCGGCAGCCAGCACCGACTCCATGTCACTAAGTATGTCAGAGTTGAGCGCCTCCTGCAGGCTGGGCATGAGCTCTTCGCTCTCCATCGCCATGCTCTCACTCTCCAGGGTGCCGAAATCCACGCTGGTGCCAGGGATGGTATCCAGATAGTCGGGAAAAACGCTGTGTTGTGTTGCCGTGGGAGTTACAGCAGCAGAGTCACCTGTAGCAGACCAAAAGAATCACTAAAAGCCCTGTGGTACTATCTTTAGAGTGTTTTCCCTAAAAAAAACTGCAATAGGAATTTCACAAGGAACACAACTTACTGACCTACTAAGGTTTCTGAAAATATAATTGTTTTTAGTTAAGACACATGTCCCATGCATGTTATCTTAAGTGAATAATTCCCAAGTATGCTATAGTATAGTAGTAAGGTTACATGACATAATTGTAAATGTCAATAAACCTTTTGAGAGAATAATGCAGCACGTGGTATGATATGACTGATGCCTCTTGTGCAGATCAGAGATGCCCCATCGACTATTATTCTTCATGGTGGGAAACATACCTGTCTCCATCTCTTCCACACTGTTGAGGAGGTCGTCCGGGGTGCGGGGGACACTGTAACTGCTGACGCTCAAACCGCTGTCTGTGCTCTCATCCCTGGAGTGGTAGGTGCCACTACAGAGACACACACAATCGTCTTTAAGGAAGACAGCAAAGATGGAATGGCAAACATGGCCAGCCAGGAACTGCTGCCAGACAGCTGGCTGTAATGTCTCAAGATGATATGGACACATAAAAGAAACATGGCTACAGAAGCTCAGAGGTTCAGAAAGCGAACTCCATAAATCCCAGCTTCATTGTGTTGAATATGTCTTTAGCAGACCTTCACCACTCTTCCTCACAGTGAGAATCAAGCCAACTTTTTTCCACATTACTTAGACTGACTTGTGCATAAAAGTATTTACTTGTGTATAAAAGAATTTTTTAAAAAGTGCAGAAAAAAAATGTCCATAATTACATCTGAAGAAATGGGACACTGGAATACCAGTAGAGAACACTGTTACGCATTCTGTTAAAAGATCCACAACGGCCAACAGCATTTATTTAGTGCACATAAATCCAACTTCCATAACTGTTTACTCAATGCAAGATATAGGTGAGCCCAAAGTCTGTCCCAGGAACCTCAAGGCTTGAGACAAGGTACACCCTGAACATAATGTCAGTCCAATGAGTAGCACACACTAGGGGGGGAAACACCAGTGTCACAATGAGAGATTTACAGACACCATTGTAGCATATTTTTGGACTGCCAAAGGCATGCAGCCCATGGCAAGAATCAGGCCCACAACCGTGAGGGTGCAAGCCCACAATATTGCCTGCTGAATTAAGGTGAATTAGCAGTTTTCTCGCCAAAAATAAGTGGTTCAAGACATTTAGCCTGATATCTGACTTCCAGTCTCCTGAGTTTCTTCACTTCCCTACAAATGTTTCACTACAGATACGACCCACGCCTTCATCCCTTCTCTTCTTCCAAGCTTCTGTGCATAACATGGCTGAAACAAAGACTCACCTGTTAAGAAATGGATCCGAGCCGTTAGTGGTCATGGTCCTAGCATCCTGCGACACGCCTGAGGAGGAACCTGCATTTGGGGCGCTGCCGTCCTGCTCCAGGCCCGCTGCAAGATGGTTCTGGTTCCTCAATGCTGAAGGTTCCTGGAAGTGCAACCACACATGAAGAAAGCGAAAAAGGAGAGATCCGCTGACACAAAGTATTGGGGTGAAAACGGGCGGAAAATAAGACAAAATTATGCCGATCGTTACGAATGAGAAGTATGTGATCTTTGAAGGGTGATGGTAGTTTAGTTTTTAATATCGTGAAAAATCTGGATGTAAATGTGTTTTTTGCTTTTGTGCAGTTTTTAACTAGAATTCATTTATTTGCAAAGAGCAACTTACACAAAGTGTTGAAGACATTTAAATGTAGAATTTAAGACCCCACTAGATGGTGCTCTTAGTTTGCTATGCTTTCAGCCCTTTTTTGAACAGAGAGCACCATCTAGTGGGGTTCGAAAAATATAGCAAATGGTTCATGAAGTGTTATTTTGGTGACATCACTAATAATCTGGGTTCACCACCTTCATAAAACAAACACAGGAAGATAAAAAAATGGAAAGCTAAGCTCTGACCTGTGTCTGTGCCTGACGCAGCAGTTCTTGGTGCTCATGCCTCAGTCTCTCCTTCATCTGCATCTGCTGAATCCTCACCTGACTCATCCCACTGCTCTGACTCTTGCTGGTTAGCTTCTCGGGGGTACTCTGGCTGACCCTCTGTGAGCTCAGCACTGAAACACAGAGGGAGCCATGTGGCATGTGAGATATTGTCATTTTCAAGCGTCATCTTGTAGCAAATGACTCACTCAGTAGTTTTGTGGTACAATCAGTCCTGCTACAATGCGTGATTTTACCCCACAAATCTGTTCTAGCGATACATACCTTAGTACCCAAGTTCAATACAACTGGGAATCGCATTTCTGTTTGTGAGATTTTTTAGTCTGAGAGAAAAGCACTACACGAACTACAGTGCAATATGATCTTAGCCAGAAGCACTACTTGCACACAAAAACAGCTATCCAAGTCAACGACAGTGAAATGATCTAACCAGTTTTCAAATCTAAAAGAATCAAAAAATTTTGTACATCCATGCATTGCACAGGTCAAAGTCTTGACAAATAATTGTTAAAAAAAAACACATCGCAACCTTTTTAGCTCACTTACACTTGCTATTTGTAGACTGTGTCTGTGCCCTGCCTTCAGTGTCCCTCCGCACACTGCAATCCATTGTATTTGTGCCGTATGCATGCATGGTGGCTGTGGCTCACTACTCACGACTAATGATGGCCAAAACAACGCTTCATGAACCATTTGCTGTATTTTCTGATCCCACTTGGTGGTGCTCTCTGTTCAAAAAAAGGCTCAAAGCATGTCCCAAAGCAAACCATCCAGAGAAGTCAGAAAATACAGCAAATGCTTCATGAAGCATTATTTTGGACATCACTACTTTCGGCTCGCTGCAATCGGCAAGTTTGTGAGTTCGGCACGTTCGGTTGAAGAGGTTACTGGGAAATTCTTGTGAGACTTATAAGACCCATAGGAGATGTTTATGATATAATCTATTAATGTATTATCATTCTTTATTTAAAATGTATATAATTACATTATTACCCATTTGCTTTTCTTTTTATTATTTCATTCATTCTTTGTTTGCTGTAGGTTGCTAAGTTTTGGAGTCACATTCCCCTAACCCGATTTTTCCCATTGGATTTGTGTAGTTTAGTAGGTGATTTTAGTGAATGTGACATTTTTCAGGAACGCATTATTCGCATTGCAGTAGGACTGACTGTGTATATGGCTTATTTCATACATAAAGAACAACTCACTTAGAAACATCCTGGTGAATGACGATTCCAGCAAAACCTGTTAAAACACTTATACCTAGTATCTAGTGTGCATCACTGATTACTGTTATATTCAAGAAAATAAAGCAAAATACTCCACTAGAGAAATCTTTTAGTCGCTGTTATATAAAATGCTTTATATTGATAATCTAAAAATCTAAAAAATCGTTTTTGTGAAATCACCTCCAATAAAGAATAATTAGGCCTATATTACTGATATTATAGTAATATTTACTTTATTTAAATTCTTAAGAAATGTTAAAGATATATAAAAACAAATATAACACACAAATTTTCTATATTTCATAAGTACAAGGCTCTTTCCAAAGGGTCAGACACAAGAATATCATTACAGGGTAACATGATACTGTAGGTGATATTACTTTAATGTTTCAACATATTTTGTTAATTAAAGAACAGTGTCCTCAATTCTAAGTAGACATACTTCGGTACCTTGAGAAAACTGCATTGTTTTTCAGGTTAAGCTCAAAAGCAACAATATCATAAAATGTACAATTACAAAAACACAGCAAGATATCAAATACAAATGGATAATAATGATACCCCCAGGAAATTGGCAATCAATAAGTTTGTTATGAGATACATATTAATAATACATATATATATATATACATGAAAACAAAAATATAGTTCGGAGATATTCAGTTGTGACATTAAGGAATGCAGTAACTCATTATTTGACTGTTAATGTAATTAGCTAATATTAATTACCCATGAATAAAATGTCTTTACTGTGCATGCAAGAATTCGATATAATTAAAATGTGATTATTTCCTCATTAGTAAAGCCATTTCCCAGTATTGCTCAGCTATGAAAATCACACAATTAACTGTTTTACCCAGTCTAGTATACACTCGCTCTCTCTCACTGAAATAGTATTGAACAAAATCAAATGTTATACTTGATCTATGTAAATACTCATCTAATTCTCAGCAACAGTTTTTAGAACCTGTACAATGAATATTTACATTCATGACAACATAGACACCCCCTTAATTATCCAGGACTGATCCACCCCCCTCCCCGCCAATAAGTGAGGGGCATACTCATTTTTATGAAGCTATGATTTTTTTAGGATTTTTTTTTTTTTAATTAAAGACCACAGTGAAAAGCTTGTCTGTGGTGGAATAGAAAACATTTTTTAAAACAGTTAACAAAATTCAACAACAAAACTAAAAAAGACAAATTAGTACAAAAACAAAACAATATTTAAAAAAAAAACAACACTGTAATGAGTCATTTAACATTAAGGAAAAACACAAAGAGAAGATGCAATGACGAAAATTGGTCCTTGCACTTGATTGGATGAGCCGGGTGTCAATCATTGTGCTGCAAAAGCAGGAAGAAACAGAATGTGTGCTTGATGCTGATGTAACAGTGATCCATGTTAACCTAGCAGCGTGCATTATGCGCAGCTTTCGGAAAATAAAATCTTAGTTGACATCCTTTCCACTGCTATAAAATATAATATATAATCATTTTAGTTACTCATATTAGATAGATAAATGGTTAAAAAAAAAACTTTTTAAATACATGAAAAAAAAATCTGTATTTTTCCACCCTAGACTATGAGCAAAAGCAGGGAAATAAATAAATACTTCACCATAAACTAATGCTTCCAATAAGAATATCCAATAGAGAAAAAAACTCAAAACCCCAATACAAGGAGTAAGCGGTATGAGAGGAAGTGTCATAAACACAGACTGTAATGCAGCTGTACATTTTAAGGTACCTTCATAAATCCTTAAAAACCAAGGATTTTGACAGTTAAAAGCTGCGGAATGATTGACACCCGATTCATTCAATCAGTTTCCTGCTTGGAGAATTGTTTTCCCCCAAGGATAATTTGCTTCCATAAATGTTATAATGACTGCCAATATTGTATGTCAAAAGTCAGCATTTTCTAATTGGCCAAAGCAATTAATAATAATTATTATTATTATATTTTTACTACTACTACTACTACTACGGTGACATTGCACTTGACAGGGCACAAATAATACAATATTTTGCTATTACTTTGGGGGCTTAATGGTTAGGGAAGCGCACTCGTAATTGAAAGATTGCAGGTTCGGATCCCCGACCAGCAAGGCACCACTGAGGTACATATGGGTTAAATGCAGAGGACACATTTCATTGTTGTGCTGCGTGTATCAACAATGACAACTAATCACTTAATTCTAAGTAACCACAAATTAAATCTTAGTTACATATTGATCTCATGTTAATTCATCATTAATGAATCATTATGCGTGTTTTATTTCAAGCAGTTTCTACATTTGTTACTATATCTTAGTTCTGTAGACCTTTGTGAACTACTGAAGGAACATTTAATGAATTACACTTACAAATTACATTTGTTAATTACATTTGTTAATTACATTTGTTAACAATTTGTACTTCAGTAATAACTGAATTATTACTAAGTATTCGTGTCCCATCAAGTAAAGCATTACCACTACTACTACAATTGTGGAATCATGCAGCCTACTTCTTGGAATAATTTTGCAGCATAGTTTGCTTGTGGTGTGCATACGTACTAGATGATTATGGTGCAGGTTCATCACATGCTGGTGCAATCTTCAAAAGAAGCTATATGACTGCTTTGGGCTTTTAATGCAGAATTTAAATGCACATGGACCTAGTTGATATATGTACACCATTTTTATATCAGCCCTTTCCGTTATTATGTATGCAGAACAAAAGAACCAAAAATGCAAGATACAGCTGAAAATATTTGGTCAAAATGTAACTGCTTTTTCTTAATTCATTTTATGGTCAACATTTCAAACACACACACACATACACATGAAGGACAACGTACACCAAGGTAAAGGCTATGAAAATCATTTGGCTTTATAGTACAGAGAGCAGCAGTTTTTGGCCTATACTCATAGTGCAATATCACTGACCACCTCCAGAGGTCAGCATAAGACCATGTGCAGAGATTTCTGCTATAGCACTACAGATGCATTCCGATTAATATTTGCATTATACTAAACAACACAAAAATAACAGGGCTTATAATTTTTTTAAAAAAGGGTTACAACAGACCACCCAAAACTTAGCCAAACAATTAACCATTGCATTCTAAAAATGTTACAAGATGGATTCAATGAATTCAGAAATGAGTTTTAAGATGAATTTCATAAGGCTGATTTATATAGATAAACTCATATCATCCCTTGGCCTTGCCACGTTCAGAATATATTCTTGACATATTACATGGGAATGTGTACATTCTCCTTGTACCAGTGTTTTTTTTTGTGATTATATCTTCTCAAAAAATGCTGTGCTGAGGTACACTGACAGTTCCTTCATATTAAACAAAGTACTTGTGTGTGTTTTGTGCTGTAATACTTTAGCAGACGTACAGCAGGGGGTGACCAACCAACAACATTTCCTGATTGACCAGCCTTCAATCCAAACCCTACAAAAGCTGCACCTTGTGGCTAAACAAATATCCTTCAGGTTCCACTTAATCCTTTCTATGTTTCTGTCTTTGTAGCCTCATCTTCCCCTGCCCCCATGCAGATTTTATTTTGTCGGAAGGAAAAGTCTGGAACAGTTTAAGAACTAGGAAACAGCAGAAAAACCTTGGAAAAGGCTCAGTCCTGCCTGACTCGGGCCTCCGTCCACAGCCACACACGGGGAACCAGTTACTCAGCAGCATTTCCAGCACTTCCATTTCCCTTCAGTCAAATGCACTCCCATTGTTAAAGTTTGATTAATACTGTACATTTGCCAGTAACTGAGGGCTATGAACGAGCTGGATGGTTATATTTAGAGACAGTCGCATCAAAGTTCATTTAATATTAAACACAATTATCTATTACATATACATCTCAATACCTAATTGACTTTTTAAACTAAATTAATTAACTAACTGAGCTGGTGGTGAAGTTTAACAAAAACATGGAACGGCTGAGGTACCCCTGAGGAGAGGTTTGGGAACTGAAGCGGAGTTCATCTAGACACCCAGCAGGATGTCAGTGATTTTTCAGAAAACAGAAGACATCCTTGTTAGTTTTTGTTAATTTGCATATTTTTTAATATTAAATTGTTTTTTTTTTCTAATCAAATGCGCACTTACTACCCAGATAAATAGCTTTAAACATTTCATTTCACTGCCTAAGACTTTTGTACAGTACTTTATATCTAATGTTTAATATAACATGTTAAATTAATATAACATATTAAACCAGAAATAACATAAATATTGAAAACCACAATAAATCCAACATTCAGGGCAAAAAAATTCACAGCTAGAAGTGAATTTACGTGAAACAATTTTTATTTCGAGTGATTTTCTACTCTCATATAAATGAAAAGTCAATTTATAGTCACAGGAAGAACCCAGGACTATGGAGACATCAGATGATGAGAATGATTATCTAATGCATCTGTTCCATATTGTATCAATTTCATTTTTATTTCAACTGGATGTTTTTTAATGTTTAGTGTGTGAAAATGAAATCCATGCCTCAGTTTTGTTCCTTGAAAACATTTTTTGTTCTACTGGGGTCTGTTTTTCTTTCCATGTGGCTCATATGATAAAAGGTTATGTATATAAAACAGAAATGTCAGGCTAATTTTTAAACCCCTTTACAAAACTATTATTTTTTTATGGGAGGTCGGTTTTACTTTATGTTTGGATGCAGTCATTATTTTGACAGTATAATTTAAGGATATTAATGGTTGAGCAAAATGCAGTTATTAAGTTTAACTGAGGAGGATATCACGATCAACTTTTAAAATAGTGATGTTTCCCATTTTCTCGCTATTATTTATATAATTTTAAGTTACGTTTCCTTATTCCATGTTGGTGCAAAACACAGGCAATATGCAAAATTGGTATTTCTGATGAAACATGCTAATCCTCATTCCCTGGTCTGAAGCCGCTGTGCACCTGCATGTGTAAGATGCCATAAGACTTAATTCATCTACAAGACTTAAATCAGGGTTCCCAACTATTTTTTCCCGCGGGGCAAATTCCACCAGCAACATAAAGCCAAGGTGCACTGCCTTCAATGTAATTTGTCAGGGGTGGGGGGTCTCAATTCAGTTGCAGTTCAATCTACCAATTGGTGACCACTGCTTTAAAATCATGGTTACTTTAGTGCTGCCAAAAGATATCTATTCACCTTTCTTGATCTTCAGTCAATGTTTGTGATTCTGCTCTCATTTTTTGAGTATAACTTCCGCAAAGTAGGTGGGAACATTTTCTAAAGTCCAAAGACTAACGCTTTCTAAGGTTTGACACTTCCTAACGATTAAGACTTACAGTATTAGAGTCCTAATGCTTTAGCGGTTGTTCTGTTTTAATTGTACTTTGAATGGTCATATACATACTAAGCATTATTCTTATATAGGTTATACACACTGGCAACAGATGTCAGTAAAATGTAGAAATGTAATATTCTTTAAAGAATTTTATTTTGCTTTTTGTGGACAGCAATGTTGACCCCCAGACTCAGTTTAAAAGGATCAGTGCAATAAATGGTTAATTTAGCTGCCAGATTAAAACAGTTCAGGCTTCAGCAATTTGACCTGTTTAACTAAGGCAGTGGGTAAACATCAAAACTCAGCAGGGGGCTTCAGTGCTACGGCAATCCAGAAAATATGCAAAGGTACCCAAGCCGATTTCCAGCTGAATACACAGAAGAAACAGACGTAACCTGATGGGAAATACTTTTTAGGTTTTTACTAGAAAGATTTTAGTATGAAGGCAAGAATTTGTCAAATCAGGGTAATCCTTTGGAATTGAGTGTTCAATAAATGAAAAGAATAAAACAATGAATTTGTATGTATCGCCAAGGCCATTTAGTTACAAAGACCAAAGTTACACTATTTCCAACCAAACCAATAGTAATTATCTGCGCATCCAGGAACACATCAAATGATGCAAACTCTGCGGCTACTGACCTGAAAATATACAAATCTAGACTAGAAATTGAAAGCAATTTGACAGAGTATTGTGTAGCTTCCAAACAATGTTCTTAAGAGTTTTGTATAGCAAGACAACATTTTTTTTCCCTCGCTAATTCATGCATTTTTTAAATGATTTTTAAATTATCTTTTTAAATTTAAATAAAAGGTACCATGAAGAACAGGGTGTTATATTTTTATGTTATATATGTTAGCCTGTTTCTTTCAATAACATTTGGAGAGCACAGTCTCACGGCTTAACATTTTCGCTAGAAAACCTAGGAAAAGCTTGGAAAATAATATACTTTAGCCATAACACTTATGATTGGGTAGGCCATAGTGGGTATAATGTTATCATTATTAACAATAATGCTGGGTGAAAAATATATTATAAATTGATAACGTGCACCGTATAGAAGAGGCCGAACCAAAGCCATTCAGTGTCATTTTTACCTTAGCATTCATTAGTCAAGGGTCCATTCAGTCATTCGCTTATTTGACGTTATTTTCACATTCCACTTGGGACTTTATGGAAAGCAATTTTTAAAAGATGAATTCGTCAGAGGTCTGAAAATGGAATTCAGCTCACCGATTCGTGAGTCAAGTCGTGGGTCCAACCAGGACGTGCTCTTGTTTTTGTGGTTGATGTAATATATCTCTCCCTCTGGGGTAATAGCCTGTTCCCAACCCTCAGGAAGCGGCCCTGAGACAGAAGTTAGCAGTCAGCTTACTTTCAACAGACAAAGCTTTAAACCAGCACAGCAGGCCCGATCATTACTGCATAGCACTCCGGCAAATATTTTTGTCATTATCATCATCCAGTGACACAGTGTAGCACAATGTTGGTGTTGTCATCTAGGACAGACATACCACAACTTCAAACGTTGTAACATCTGGTCCCACCCAAGCCCAATAAAGGCAGTTGGTGAACATTGCCTTTCACAATGTTCTTAATTTTTACACTGAGAAATATTTAATACCACTACATCAAATAAGTGAAGGACAAAATAATGCTTCATAAACCATTTGCTGTGTTTTCTGACCCCACTTGATGATGTCGTTGGTTTTTGTCAGGGCATGCTTTATACCCTTTTTGGAGAGAGAGCACCACCTACTGGGGTCAAAAAATACAGCAGATGGTTCATGAAGCATCATTTTTTCCATCACTAAATGGAACATATGCAAACACTATCTGGAGTTAAGTTTAAATGAGTAAGCGAGCACTTTACTGCACACTAACTGGGAAACTAAATGGAAAAAACAATGAAGCACAGCACGGCTACTTTAAATCTCGCTCTATCTGCTCCCTTAGCCAAATAGCCAACCAAAAGCGTGCAAATGGAGCTATTTAAATTTAGTGAGAGATCAACCAAGTACAGATCCATCCATATTTTAACCCCATAGAAACATGTAGAGCAAAGGCTGACCTCTAAGCCCAGCCCCGAATGGCGGAATAAGTGTGCTAGCCAGTGAACCATGCCCAACTGTCAATGTGCACGATATGGCGACACAACACGTCACTGATGAGATGGATGATGACTTGTGCTTGGCGCTAGTGGCTTACCAGTGGCTGAGCTCACGACGGGCAAAGGAGCGGCCTGGTTTATCGGTAACATTGCCTTTCGGGGGTCCTGCCAGGTGGTAGTTTTATCCAAGTGGCTGAAATTAATTAGAAAAAGAGTATGTTACGTGTTTAGGGTGCAGACAGCTGTAGGTAACAGACTTCTGTAGGGTGGTAACTGGTAATACCAGTTCAGTGTCTAAAACTTTTTGGTTTCAATATTCCCTTTCTAAATACAGCAACATATTCAGAGAGAAAAAAAAAGACTAGAAAATTAATTTGAAAATTGAGGAACAAAACGTAAAAAAAAAATACAAAATGCCCTTTCAATTAATATTTCCTTAAGCAATGAGACAGTAGACATGTTTGATCGTGCCGACTTATGCTATTGCCATAAATCTGTCGCTCCATTATTCTCTTTGGCTCACAAACTCCTGTCACAAGAATCTTTGAATGTGAGGCATTCGATATAAATAGAGATGCGCAGTATTTCAATGAAATGTACTTATAATATGCATTTAATTACTTTTGAGTAGAAATAAATCATGTAATTTGTAATAAAATACTTTGAGAGGTTGTATTTTATGTATTTACAATACTTCATAAAATATGTCTATTTATTTTCTATCATTTTAAGAACTGTCACCACCAGGCTTACAGACTTTTAAATATAGCCTATCCCCGTCTTTGGCTAGATACAATTAAATCACATGACATCCTGATGGGTCTTGCACGCTCTTTATGAACTTAATTTTCTCATAACCAGTAAGAGAAATGAAGCAGCTTTGGTGCTCATTGTAAAATGCCTAAACGTACAGTCTGTAGTAAAATATACTATCAGATATTGCTCACTGAATATCATTATAGTACAGACAAATAGAACAATTAGCAAACAGCAATGCTGCGCTCTAGAATTTGTGAATTAACTTGCTGGCCTGTTAGTTGCATTCTAGTTAATTTCAGGCATGCTCAGGCATCTTCTGGTTTTTCATATATGGAACCCTTCACTACTTTTCTAGAAGTGAAGTGAATTTGGTCATCATCAGGGAATTAATTCCATGCTTTGTCTATGTATTTATAATTGTATGCTTTGTCTGTATTTATTCAATTCAATAAATTTTATACAGCGCCAATGACAACAGAGTTTACATAGGTGTATATACTGTATATATATATATATATAATGTGTGTGCGAGAGAGAAAATATATAGATATATAAATATATCTTTAACTGAACAGTCCAATTTGAACAATCTACATATCTTTCAAAACTATTTAATTGCAAGTATTGCTTTAAAGCATAGCAATTCCCATATTAATTAAAAGCACAAAAGTACTTAGTGAAATTCACTTGTATTTAATTTTTTTATTTATGAACCATTCATTTTTCAGTTGTTGCAATACAGACACTGAACCATTTGGAAGAATACAAACAGTAGTATCTCTACTCGCTACTCATTTGTTGTTCAATTTGTGTATTTGTGTTTCCTATCAAATATGTTTACATGCATACATGTCGTCCTGGATTTAACAGATGCATGATACCTTTTACAACAATCTTCCTGTATTACTTAGGTTACCCCAAACACCACTCATGCTTACCAAACCCCTATAACCAAACTTTGAAAGGAATAAATGCTTTTTCCATTATGGCATATAAAAATGAAAATAATAATTTCACAATTATCGCTAGTAATTTTTAAAGGTTTTCAGTCTCAATGGCAAATACATTCAAACAAGTATTTTACCCACTATGCAGATTAATGCTTCTCAATCTGGTCCTTGGGGACCTCCAGACAGTCCACGTTTTCGCTCCCTCCCAGCTTCCTGCCAGACAGTCCACGTTTTCGCTCCCTCCCAGCTTCCTGCCAGACAGTCCACGTTTTTGCTCCCTCCCAGTTTCCTGCCAGACAGTCCAAGTTTTTGCTCCCTCCCAGCTTCCTGCCAGACAGTCCACGTTTTTGCTCCCTCCCAGTTTCCTGCCAGACAGTTCACGTTTTTGCTCCCTCTCAGCTTCCTGCCAGACAGTCCATGTTTTTGCTCCCTCTCAGCTCCCTCCCAGACAATCCACATTTGGGATTGGGAAACACTCATGTAGAATAAAGTTTATATCTTATTTTTAACAAGGGATTAATGTTTATTAATGTTCCGAGAATTCAGAAGCCTTTCCTCACTTGACAATAGTGGGGAATAGAAATAAAACCAAAGTGCAATATTATGGGTGGGAGACCTGAGCCCCTCCAGGATCCCCCTGAATGCAGTTATTAACAAAATGTTAAGTACTAATGGATAATTTACATGAGCAGTACCTGAAAGTCATGCAATGCCATTCCACTTTATGGTGAACTTACTCAACAAAGGACTTTCTGGACTTTCTCTATGGCAATTCTGGTATCTATTTAGTGCTTTCCTGAACTGTCATAGCTCTTTTTTGCGAAAAGAACTGACTTTGTTTGGTGGCCAGGGGTGAATCCTGCCAAAGGCATGATGGATAATTGCACAAGGCAGCATCTTGAGGGGAAGCTCCGCCCCCACATCTGAGACCCTGGGGGTGATGCCTGCCAAAGGCATGATGGGTAATTGCACAAGGCAGCATCTTGAGAGGAAGTTCCGCCCCCACATCCAAGACCCTGGGGGTGAAGCTTGCCTTCCACTGGCACTGCTGGTGGCCTTAGTCACAGGACAGTAATGGTGGCCTGGTTCACTTTAGCAGATATTGATACATTGCATGCAGCTTGTGGGACTAGAGGTGTGGAAGAGCAAAGCTCTAGGATTTCTAGGTTTATGGTAGGAGTGGTGAAATTAACATGGCAGTATAGTATATCTGCCTACAAGACAGCGGTCGCTGCTACATACGGATTAACATGGCAGTATAGTACATCTGCTTTCAAGACAGCGGTCGCTGCTACATACAGATTAACATGGCAGTATAGTACATCTGCCTACAAGACAGCGGTCGCTGTTACATACGGATTAATATGGCAGTATAGTACATGCGCCTACAAGACAGTGGTTGCTGCTACATGCAAATTAATATGCCAGTATAGTATATCTGCCTTCAAGACAGAGGTGGCAGCTACGTATTGTTACATGCGTATTTGTACATACAGTGCTACATGCGTGTTTTCTCAATGATGATCCCACAATCCGCAGAGTAATCGCCTTCATTTGACCATAAAAATTAAGGAATTAAATACAGTTGACTCACATACACTTAACTTTGTGAAAACCAGTAGGACCAATGAAAACACTTTTTTCAAACATTCAGAACATTCAGCACATCCTCCAGTTCCAAGCACACCGATAAAATGATCGTATTAAACAGCAGTTTTCAAGGATTCTGGCAGAAATGCTACAATCAGCAGGAATGAGCCAAACTGGAACAGCTTACAGTAGGAGGACAGTATGTGAAGGAACAGCCTGAGAGCAGTCAGAACAGCCCAATCATCCACTGCACGATGAGCGACAGCAGGGATGAAGGAAAATTACAGGCATGCACCTGTGAGCCCATTATAACAGGGGGTGCTAATCACCTTGCAAAGCCACACACATCAATGATGGGGGGACTGTCTTTTGTATTGTAATTAAATGGAAAGAGAATCGTATTTACATGAATAATATACCTTGACTCACATTACTCCTTCAATCAGTGCTGGTTTTTGTGTGTGATGGATTTATTACAGTAAACCTCTCTATTCAGTCTTTTCCGTACCTTCACAGCTTACATGATGTAGGAACCTGGTTTTTTGTGTGGTCAGGAAACCAAAGAGTTTAATAACAGCCAATCAACTCCAAATGAAATGTTATTACATATACTGTAAGAAAGGGAGTACACACAATACCCCATAATGCAAGAAATTTAAAAAGCAGTCAATTTATGTAACAATCTGAGATTATGTGAAATGTAAGCAGCTTATTTTGCTTTCTGAAATTTTTGGGGGAAAAAAAACACAAAAATACAATGAAATATCTGGATTTTGCTTTACAGTAATTATTGGGAAGCTATTGCTACTTCAGCTTCTTAAGAGCCTTCAAGAAGAATGTTACATAATTTCACATTCAAAAATGAATTCACATTTTACAATGAACGCTGACATGGGTCCAACAATCTATTAAAATATATAAGTATTTCATACTGTATTCTAGTATGTTTTTATAGATAAAAACAAAACAGGGCTTTTAAAGAAATGTCCATGTATGAAGAAAAGGGATGTCAAAAAGTGATTCCACTTTTGTCACTAGTTCAGAACAAGTTTATGCTGTTGCATGTGAAATCGCTGTTCATGAGCTGTGGCTACACAAGACGATCTTTCCTATTTTGGAACATTTCTCCTTTTTTTTTTAGATTTTAAGTACTACAAAATAATGCATACATACAACTTAAAAATACACCTACAATACTCGTACATTACTAACACATTTTCATTATACTATTTAATTTCATTCTTTACCCATTTAACAATGTTTATAGTGTTTTAAACATATATTAAATAATGCTTAATTTAGTAAGTGTTGCAAACTTTTTACAACAACCAAATGCACCAAACAATATGATTTAATTTACCAGCACACACAAGAACTTCTCCTTAACTCAAAAAGCAGTTACAAATGTATATTTTCTATGTGCCGTACAATAGCGCACTTTGCAATTCATTCACTGCTCAAAAGCAGAGCGCTAACAGTAGCAGTCTTTGAGAGATGCTTTGTGAGGATGCCAGAAGTTGGAATGCTGGGTGGGGTAACTTGTCAACACTGCTGATCCTGTGCTGCTACTTGATGCCGTCAATTGCTGTTGACAAAGGGAAAGAATTTACAGCCACCTGCAGCTCGCTATGGCATCACATAATCACATCAAAGCAAACAACAGGGGACGACCTGGAATTAAGGCCAAGACAAAGTGGATACTGTCTACAGTTTAATGTTGCTTTGTAACCATGGAGGTTTAAAATTTCCCTAGCCTAAGTAATCTATAGCTCTCCCTTACTAATTTATGCATTTTGAGTAACCTTATTTTTGACACAAAAAAGACAATTCTGATAGTCATTCATTTTTATCATCGCAACGGCACTACTGACAAGGCAAATGAAAAATGTCAGTG